AATAGCGTTCCGTGTAGTGAAAGGGAACTATGTTTGAGACAAATTATTGAGATGGTTAAAGTATGAGTCAACATGGTTAGTATCAAACCATTAATTAACTTAATATCATTATCAAATACTATCTCTTTCAAATTCGGGGCAAAAGACGATATAGAGAAAGGAAGACACAAATTATTAGTATTTACAACATCAATAATTCTTTTGGAATAAATATTACAAGATAGAACTTCTTTAAAAAAAATCGATTCAATTGGAAATTTGGAGTAGATACTACAGTTACAAAAAGGAAATATTGATATTAATTATTTTGTACTTTCTATTTTAATAATTTTTAAACATTCTATTGTTATATTATACAACAATTATAATCCAAAATATAACATATTTCTAACATAATTATAGCAACAACAAGCATTTTTTAGAAATTTTATTCTACAACAAAAAAATGAAAATAAGTTGAATCAATATAGAGCAAAAAAAAGTCAAGAAAAATACTATACATTCCAAAACTCAAAATCCCTAACAAAGTTTCGCATTATAATATCAAAATTATTTTTAAAAAAATGTGAGCATTCTCTTTTGTTTTCGCCTAACAATAAAAATTGAACCAATAAAATTCGAGATATTTTTAGAACAAAGGGAAAAAATAAAGAAGATTCCCAAAGAAAATTTTACTAATTAGGAATGGTTTTTTTCAGAAAAAGACTTTTTTTGGGGAAACCCTAAACCCTATCAGTTTTGGGTATACAACAATCGGTTTGGAGCTAATAATTAGGTCAATAATAATCTAAAGGGATAAATCAAGATTCCTTTGAACTAAATTTGAACAAATTTGCTTCAAAATCGACATAGAAGTCAACAATTTGGCAGATTTTCAATAACAATAATATTACTTGAAACCCTATTTTGGGCGGATTTCATAATCAGGTAGTAGAAAACCCAAAATTTTTCTAGTTAGATCCATAAAAAAAGGGACAATAATCAATTGTATTGAACCAACAATCTTGTAAAGCGCTTTAGTATGGTAACTGAGAACAATACAATTCGGTAGATTTCTCATAAAAAAGAACCCCAATTTTTTAGTGAAAAAAGCTAATTTTTAGTGACTCAAGGGATTTTTAGAGTGAGAAAGGAAGCGGACGATCCCACCGAGTCAATGCATATTGGATTGCCCGTTTTTTGACAAGAAGCAACAATATGGGGAGGGTCTCGGCCATTTCCCAGTATATTTAGGGAGGCCCCTTGAAAACCGATATGAATTGGACGAGTCCGATCCGGATTGACATTTCTTTACACTATGTTATACCCTTTCGGTTACAAGGAAGGAACAACAAACAATCAAAGTCTATTTACTAGTAACTATTGGTATAATGCACTTTGCCTTGCCAGAAAATTTCAATAGACATGGCAGGTGGTTATTAATTTTAAGCAATATTTTCAAAATTGGCTACGTAAAAATGCAAAAAAATGAAAAAAAAAGTGCTAAAAATAATTAAAAATAAGAAAAAAGAAAAATAAACAATGGAAATCATTAGAAATCTATAAAACTAAAAAAAGTATGTAAGATATGGATTATTAAAATTTGATATGGACCACGATATATTTTAGTAAAATAAAGAAAAAGAAAAGAATGGAACATGCAATAAAAAAGTTCCAAAACCATAAAAAAACTAAATAAAATATATAAAAAATGTATTATGAAATCATATATTGAAGATCTTTGACCAAAATTTTTGAGTTTTTAATGATTTTTTACAGGGGCAAGTGGGCCCCTACACCCTGGAACTCGCCTTGACCAAACGCGAAAGGCAAGTTACTCGGACGAGTGGACTCGACTGAGTCTTGGAACAATGTTTCTAATTCCTTGTAAGAATGGAGCAACAGGCACAGAGAAGTGGTTTACTGCTTTCAATGAGAACGGTTGTGTTTTTTATCACATCCAGGATTGATTGAAAAAAGTACTGAGGAAAGTTCCAAAGACTGCTCTTCGCCATTATTGATCATTCAAAAGCTCAATAGACAACTTGATTATTGAGTAAAAGGACAAAATACAAAAGCTTACTTGTTAGGCATTATTTAATGAAGGAAAATGGTTTGATAGGGCTGCAGCCCTATTAAAATAAGTAGAGCCTCATTTCATAACTCATCAAAATTGCAATTCACGTGTTGAAAAATATTTAAATCGCTCGTCTCAGCTTGAACATTGTAGTTGTGAAAAAAAATTAGGATTTTAAGTTATAAAAATAGTATATATTGCAACAAATCTTCTAGACCTCAGCAAGATTTGTACCATTTTTTTAATTTCAAAATTTATCGACGGTGTTGGAAATTGATTTTAGAGCTATCATGAATATTTTCTGATAACCAAAGTGCTTCCGGATTAGTTGGAAATTGATTTTAGAGCTATCATGAGCATTTCTGATGGCCAAAGTGCTTTCCGGATGAGGATAGTGGTATGGCTTTATTTTGTTTTCATGAATCCTATGCTTTATAGAAACTTCATCCTTTAATGAAATACTAACTTTGTACAACTTTTACTGGAGTTGTTTTGGTATTCTCTAGCTGGAGTAGTAGAAAAATGGGAATCCTTTTCATCAAGTTTTTTGTCAAGAGTTTTATGGATGTATCAAAGGAAAAATGAGATCAACGAAGAGAGGGGATTTATGTATTTTGTTATCAGATATAAAAGTAGGGATAATTCTCTCCACTCTTTAATTTGGTGTACTATTTTTTAATATACCTTCAAATATTTTGTTATCAGATATAAAAATAGAGAAAATTTTCCCATATACCTTAATTTGGTGTACCATTTCCCACTAGATCCACTTATTGGAAACATATCCAGCGGCATTAGCATTGAATATAAAAGTGGTTATATTTGATCATTTAAGGAAATGTATATATTGAGCACAATTATTATTTGTCTGGAAAATCAGCTATCACCCTGAGCCGTTAGTTAAGAAAGTGTACAGCTGGGAGTGTCATTCCTTGGTTCAATGTCGATACAAACTAGTGATAAGATATCTGATTTGATGGCTTTGTAGTGATATTACTTGGCAGTAACTGTACTCATGAAATTTTAACTACGTGTGGGAATCATTTTATTAAAAAAAAAAATTTATGTAAGGCATCAACTTTTTTTTCTTGGGTAGTTGAGTGCGGATGCGGTCTCCGGACCCCCACTCTAACCACCTAGCCTTGAGGCCATTCTTTATAAGGCGTCAACCTCTTGATCCACAAACAAAGGCCATTTCAAATATCCATTAAAAAGAATGTTCTGATGCCGGAAAACCATCATATTGATCATCTCAACCTCGGGATGTATGGATATAAAAAATGTATGGATATAAAAAAATTATTTCAAAGTCTCCTAGAATTATTTCAAAGTCTAAGCAGTGTGGGAAGGTCTATATAACTTAATGCTGAAATGGAAATATTTCAAGGAATATATGCATAGTGACAATTGTGAAAAGTTTAATTGGGACTCTGCCCAAATAATTTATGTTAGTTGTCGGGTTGGCTACCAGCCGAGAATGTGCCAGGCTAACCCTGGTCCTATATTGGGCCTAGCTAACCCTGGCCCTAGTCTGGCCATAACCCCTATAGGGCCAGTCCTAGGGGCAGCAATGGATTGGGTGGCCCAGCCCTAAAAAGCTAGGACCTAGGCCACAAAACGTGGGCTGAGGACCAGGTCAGGGCCGAGCAACTATGGCTATCTTTTTCTTAGTTATTTATTTATATTTTATTTTATTTGGCTCAGCCCAGCTTGATAGGCTCGGGTCAAGGCCTGTTTGGCCCAATTAGGGCTTGAGCCGGCCCTATGGGGTCTAGGGCCAAGCTAGGGCTAGGGCCGTCCAGGCCCATTGCCAGCCCTAGTTGGTCCAATCCGAAGGCCCAACCCAAACCCAAGCCCAAGCCCAAGCCCAAGCCCAGGCCCATGCTTGTTAAAGCAGGGTTGGACTACATGGAACAAAAAAAATAAAAACATAAAGAATAAAGAAAAAAAGGGGCTGGTCCTATCGTGACCCTGCCCCGCCCCTCAAGCCACATCTTGAGCCCAGATCTTAGTTCTTGAGGGCCGGGCCAACTGGGCAGGACGGGGCACCAGACCCTTTTCCACCCCTAGACTCGAGTAACACATTCAAAGCTCATTTTAAAGTAAACCATGAAGCCACGTCAAAACTTTTGGAGGAAATTTTGGAAATCATAAATGCAGTAAACTAAATTATCCACAAAATAATGCACAACAGTGCACACATGTGGCCTTGTTGTGAAGTACATCTCCCTTTAATTTATGCCCCAAAAGTTGGAAAACTTAGAGTGGGTAGCAATCTTACAAAAGCTTGCTTCATACTCAGTTCCTAGTGAAACAGGAAGCATGAAATTATATTTATTTCTCCCCACTCTCTCTCTCTAGAATGAAATTACATTTCTTTCCCCCCCTCTCTCTCTAACTCATCTTATGGAAGAATATATAGTGCATCAAAAGTGTATTTAAAATGAGTTCATTTCATTTGAATGTGTCGGTAAAGATTTTACAGCATGGGTTGCTCTATTGTAGATTTGATGTGCCGTGCGGCCCCACGTATTGATGATTGTAGGTGGGTAATGCTTGCTTTGCATACACACAATACCTATGGTCCACGCTCTCTCTGCACCAAATGAGGTGAAGTCTAAATACCAGTTTTATGGTGTTGGCCAAACTTTGTCTCATTATACAAATCCCTTGGTTCCCCTATCTGACCAAGCTTTATTTCATTGAATATGTATACAAATCCCATGCTCCACGCCCCTCTCTCTTATAGTTGGGGGTGGCAATGGGCGGCCGAATGGCCCGGACGGGCCATGTTGGGCCGTCCCTAAGAAACTAGGGCTTGGGCCACCGAAGGTGGCTCAAGGGCAGGCCTAGGCTAGGCCAAGACGGGACCAACGAGGTTCAGCCCGGCCTGGCCCCTTTTTCATCTTTTTTACACTATTTTCCTTTAATTTTGTACGGCTCCAACTAGCCTGGCCATGATAGGGCCTGGGCCACAAAATGTGGCCTAAGGGCCGGGCCTAGGTCAGGCATGGCCCAGTTCAGCCAGCCCAGCCATTTTTATTATTTTTTACACCATTTTTCTTTAATTTTGCGCTGCTCCTTGCCCGTTCAGGGCCAGGGCCAAACTTGGGCCTCCAGGGAATAGGGCTAGGCTACAGCGAGTTATGGCCCAGCCCATTGCCACGCCTACTTATAGTGATGAGGTCATGGTCCAAAACACTGAACAAATCCCATGGTCCACTCCTCTATGTAAGTAATGAGTTGATGGTCCAAAATCCATGTTTTCATTATAAAAACCTTGTCCATCTCTCTCCATCTCTAGCGCTACTTATAATGATGAGTTCATGATCCAAAACACTAAACAAATCCCACGGTCCACTCCGATGTATAAGTCATGAGTTGATGATCCAATTCCTAGTTTTCATTAAAAAATAACCTTGTCCATCTCTCTCTCTCTGTCTCTCCATTTGTAGGACCACCGAGGTGCACCTCCGTCTCTCTCCTTACAGTGATGAGTTGATGACCAAACTTTGTTCTCATGAAGAAAATCCCATGGTCCACCTGTCTATACTTCTCTCTCTACTTGGTTGGTGTGTTTGAGTTCAACTCCTCTGCTGATTGACTGATGAACCCGAATCATTAAGCTCGAGTTTAGGCGACAATCAAGGTGAAAGAAACCATGGGTCAGTGTCAGCAGATCTCAAAAGGCAGAAGGAGACGACTAACTCAAAAGTCCACTTATCAAGGAGATTTCCCTCACTTGATTATCATTGTTGCTACTTACTACTTTTTACTTTGATATTCACTGTGATTTAGAGACATATTTGACGAAGAAGAAACCGTGAGTTTGACAAGTGTGGATGGTGCCACCATGGCTGAACACACCTGCAACTGCCCAGTATCAGGGATTCCTTGGAGTAGCATTAAAGTCTGCATCCACCCATGAAAAAAAACATTTCCTTTTAGTGTAGGAACACAAGAAATGAATCAGTGTTAGAGAGAGAGAGAGAGAGAGAGGAAGAGACTGTATGTCACTGGTTTTTAGAAAACCACGTTCTCTACCATTCATCTTTTGAAGCTTCTGAGAAGAAGATGGATTCTTCCTCTCTGACATTCTTTTTCTTCACTTTTCTTTGTAGCCTCTTACTCTTTAATGGTATGGGAATTACTGCATTTGAAGAAGGGAGTGAGAGAGTAGATATAGAGATTCAGAAGGTTTCAGGTGTAGATGATAATGAGAGAATGGGAGTTTTGGAGAGATTCAGGTTTTTGTTTGGGTTGGGAGTGCCTGAAACTGGAAATTCTGGCCATGTGAGACGTGGCTTTTCCCCAGCTCCATCACCAATGGAGGCCGCTCCTCCTAAAGTTGCAGAAAGTCCATCACCAAGACCACCATTTAAAGCAAAAAGGAAAACCCATCACCCACAATTGAGTTCCAGTAGGATTCAGCCTCATAGTCTTGAGGTGCCAAGAAAAAGAAAAGAAAATGGGGCCAGAATTAGAAGAATTGTTATAGCATTGGTTGTCTCTCTAGGATCAAGTTTGGCCATATTTGCACTGGTAATTCTCTTCTGCTATAGGTTTAGAAGAGGCCATAGGAACCCAAGATCAGGAAGAGCTCTAATGGCTTCATCTGAGAGATCAAAGAATAAAAGAAGTTCTAATCCTATGAACTCCGTAAATAAGGTTAGTTTTGATCCAGGGCCCGAATTGTTCTTTCTGGACACTTTAGGTTCATTTGGAGATCGGGCTTCCTCTGGTTTTAAACGGTCACCTGACCCTGTAAATGTATTAACCCACGAAAGAGGAACCCAAGAGAGAGAAATGCATGAGAGAAAAATCCATGAGAGAGAATTGAGTTCTCCATCACATGAAGACACATCCAGTATGGAACAACCAGAGGGTTGTAAGTTCAATGATAATCATGACCCTTTAATCGTGAACGAGATCCTTCCGATGGAATCCTTACCATCTGATGATGAATCATTCCATTCTGTCTGTGAATCTCATCCGTCTGATCGATGTTTTCCAAGAAATGTAGAGGTTAATTCAGCAGCATCATCTTCATTTTCATCTCCTAGGCATCCTTCTTCCTTATCTGTGACACCAAGGCCTTCACCTCCCTCTTCTCCAACTCTCTCAAAGAAAACCCAGTCAGAACCATTCGTTTGTTTGCCCAAAGTGAATCCTGTGCACAAGTTCCTCGAACCCAATTCATCAGAGACATGTAAAGTCCTGGACCTGACTCCTGCAAATTCTTCAAAAAAACCCATATTGCCTGATGCTGTGACAACCGAAATTACTCCACCTTCATCTATCTTAATTCCAGATGAATCTCTCTCTGAACCACTGAAACGAGAGATCAGCTCTTCAATAATCATAGAGTCTTCGCCTTCCTTTTCTCACTCCAACTCCAAGGAAACTCCACAATCTCCTGCCGTTTCATCTTCGGTTGATCTGAACTTTTCATCCTCTTCACCTCTTTCTTCACCCTCTCAATCTATTGAGCAAACACCAACACCCCACCCCCTGAATCAAAATTCTCCTCCTTCCCATTCTCACTCTAAATCTAATGTACCTCCCCCATTTACTCAAAGTTTAAGCCCTTCTTCCATGTCATCTTTTTCTTCTCCCACAAAATCTTTCGGACAGAAACAGAGCACCGCAACTCCTCCTAAACCTCCTCCCCCACCTCTGCCACCTCGGTTCATCCCTCCAATAAAGAAGGGAAACAATCCACCTCCTCCTTGTCCACCGCTGCAATTCACACCTCTAGGGAAGGATGGAATTCCATTGCCAAAGCTTAAGCCTCTCCACTGGGACAAGGTTCGAGCACCTACAGATCGTTCCATGGTTTGGGATAGGCTGAAACCTGGCTCGTTTGAGTAAGCAAGCACTTCTTTCTCTCTCCCTGTCTACAGTTTTCTTTGATGTTTCTCTATATAAATCATGAATTTTGGTCACTAGTATATGTTTTCATGAGGTTTCAATTATTGCTCTGATGACACACTCTTCTCTCCCTCACAATAGTTTTCTTTGGTGCTTTTCTTTCACCATACGAAACATGTTTTTCGTCTCTTGTTCTATGTTTTAATGGCGTTTGAGATCGGTGTGTCTGAGAACAGGTTGGATGAAGAAATGATGGAGTCTCTCTTTGGGTACAATCTGCAAAGTGCAGTAAGGAATGAAGAAGGAAAGAACAAAAGCTCATCACCCAACAAGCATGTTTTGGATCCAAAGAGACTACAGAATATAACGATCCTCTCAAAGGCTTTGAATGCATCCCCAGAAGAAGCGTGCAATGCTCTAATACAAGGTTAATATTATTATTTTCTCAAATTTTGTTTCATTGAAGATGGGTTGAAAGGTATATCTGTTATCTCAAAGCAACAGTCATTGATTTGCCAATCTGGCAAACTTCTTGCATAAACTTCAGTTTTCAGTAAATTTGTTTTCATTGTAGATTCTGGTAGTCTTCCCTGCTTAAAGTTATTCAAGTGTCTCACTGACTAACATTAACTCTTTGTCCCTGTTTATGACACTCTTCTCCTGATAAAGCAAAATTTGAAAATAACATTACATAACAGGAATAGCATCAATAGTCCCAATCTCTAACTCCAGGACTCCTTATCTTTAAAATTGATCAGAATACTGAGGCCATCATCAATCCATAGTTTTTCCAATGTCCCTTACTGTAGAGTAGTTAACTATTTAATGTCCCTTACTGTAGAATAGTTAGCACTTCATAAAATAGCTTTCAGTTTGTTTCTTGACAGTCATTTTGATTTTAGCTCTGAAACATTTAATTACATCTGAAATTTCTTCACTGCGTTGACAATAGATCATCATCATCATCATTCTTCACTGCATTGATATTAGATGCTTTTCGTAATTTTTTCATCTCTCCAATTGAATGGAGAGTGAAAGCCCCAACTCAAAATATACAAGCAAATAAACATTTTGACACCCTAGTAGAACTCAGTTCGTCCTCAACCAAAACACCAATTTACAAGCACCGAATCAAGTAAAAATTTTGACACCCCAGTAGAACTCAGTTGTCCTCAACCGAAACACCAATTTACAAGCACTGCAAGTATTTAGAATTACTAAAGCTAAAGCTCCACTTTCTTGACTTATCAGAAAAGTGTCGCATTTGCCTCAAAGGTTGTGGGTTTTCACATTTATATGGAAACAGGGGACGGCTTATTGGCTGAGCATTTAGTGGCAATGGCAAAAATGGCACCTACAAAGGAAGAAGAAGAGAAAATTTTGAACTACAAAGGCGATGTGAGCAATCTGAGTGTGGCTGAGAAGTTTGTCAAAGCAATTGTAAATGTACCTTCTGCATTTGCTAGAATTGAAGCAATGCTGTACAGGGAAACCTTTGAAGATGAAGTAGTGTACCTCACGAAATCCTTTGCTATGTTGGAGGTAAATCATTATCAGTGCGCTTATATAAAAGAATTCACAAGGCAGTTAGTCCATAGGATTTTCCCATCAAGTGTTTGACAAATCCAATAGCACACGCATATGGAATATGCTATCTTTTATTTGTTTTTTTTTTTTTTCTTTTCTATGGAGATGAAATACTTCTTCCCTCTATTGCAAATCAGTATCAGATTGGGCGAGTTCCTATAATTGGCTAGTGGCAATAACTACATAGAGAAAGAACTGATCTTCTTGCAACATCAGCCCTAGGAAACATTCAGTGTGTGCTAAAGGTTGATATGTGCAAAATGTAAAGCCCTTGCTTTATGTAGATTTATTGTTATTGGCTTGCTAAATGAGTAAGATGACCTTCTTTGAAGTCGTTGATAAGGGTATATTATATGTTAAAAGAGTATGTTCATACAGACCATAGCTATGAGAGAAATGTAGTGGACAAATACTTGGGCATGTGTGAGCGCATCCACACACACGCACACCAAGAAGCTAAATGAACCCCAATACAAACACAAAACAGAATAACAAGGGGAAGTATTGTGTGAATCAATGGTGTGTTGGTAGTTGATAAACAGTAAATCATGAACCATTCACTACTTCTTCCTGATGACATGGGTAGGGATTAACCATCATTCGTGATGATTGACATTCACCGGTGTATGATTAATCTCCACTGCCCATCACTGGAAACAGACAGTGAATGCCCCTGTGGGGTACCATGATTGGAAAAACAACTAAAATCCTACAAAAGACCATCACCTAGGCATCCAAATGGTTTACTTTGAGCATCAACCCATCTCTCTATCCATCTTTTTCAGGAGGCCTGCAAAGAGCTGAGATCAAGCCACCTCTTCTTGAAACTACTTGAAGCAGTGCTCAAGACAGGAAACCGAATGAATGTTGGGACAATTCGTGGGGGAGCAAAAGCTTTCAAGCTTGATGCCCTTCTCAAGCTCGCAGATATAAAAGGAACAGATGGGAAGACCACCCTTCTTCATTTTGTGGTTCTAGAAATGACAAAGTCAGGAGGCCTCAACAAGATGACAGAGAATAATGACTTGGAGAGAGAGAATGGTTGTGAAGAAAATGAGGATGATCAGAGAAGTATTTTGGGCCTTGACCTCATCTCAGGCCTGAGCACTGAGCTTTGCAATGTGAAGAAGACAGCGGGTATAGACTTGGATGCTTTGGCAAGCTCCGTTTCGAAGCTCTCCGAAGGAATGCAGAAACTAAAGCAACTCACAATGTCTATGGAAGAGAGAAGTTCTAGATTTGTCGAATCAATGAGTTCCTTCATGGGTCATGCTGAAATTAAGATTAAGGAGTTGAAGGAATGTGAAGATAGGGTCATGTCTCTAGTGAGAGAAATCACAGAGTATTTTCACGGGGATTTGGGGAGGGATGAGACGAACCCTCTTCGGATATTTGTCATTGTGAGGGATTTTCTGGGTACACTGGATCATGTGTGCAAGGAAGTCAAAAGCTCAAAGCATTATAACCAGAAGAGTCGATATGCTGCAACACCCTTTAAGCTGATCTCTAAATCTGGCCCAGTGAGAAACTGTAAGGGAACCGAAGTTTGAGACTGTAGTTTCTTGTTTGTATAAAACCCAACATATTCTGACTTTGGTTTGTATCATTATTGATTTTGGTCTGTCTATTTTCACAATTGGCTCAACATCCAATACAATTTGATTGCCATTAACTTCTTAGTTTTTCCTCACTTTATAACACTCGGTTGGAAGACTTTTCTAGATCTTGGAGCACGTAACTAAGTATGCTGGATGCAATGTATCCATCATTCAATCAGTTCAAGTTCTTGGGGAAAACTAAGTTGTAAGAGAATGGGTTCGTAGTTTTCAGATGTTCCTGCAAATAAACTACAAAATGGAACTATCAAAAGGAGAGATGGGGTCTCTCAGACATTTATAAACCAATCACTTGAAGTTATAACTATATGTCCATTAGATATTGATTCAGTATAATTGGTTCTAAAATATTCAGGTAGCAAGCCATCTTCCGTTTAAATTCCTGCTGGTTCATTAGGAATATTCAGTTAAAGTCCACTTATTCATGAAGAGATATTATATTGGTGAATATGCAACCTAGAATTCAATCAGGCACGAGATGCGGTTCTTTGAGACATACCAATCCTTGACAGATATTCAAATAATTTTCAACTATGTTATGGTGTGTCTCAAATTTAGATTTCGCCAGTGAAGAACGACTAGAACTAAAAAGTTCTCAGGGATTGACAATCGTAAAAGAGCAAAAAACACTATTGTTTTTCTCCAGTTTCAAACTGATTTATACAAGCATTGAAAAGAGCGGCAGATAAGAAGAAGTTGGGCAAAAACAAAAAACAAAAACTTAATGCCACTTCTTCTGAATGATGTGTATATGAATTACAAAACTGTGTCAACTAAGTAGAAAAGAAAGGTCCAAGCCTTTGTACCACAATTAATAGCCTCTTGTGAGCAGTGACAATGATATCTCTTTTAAATGATATTTGCCTCAAAATGAAAAGGATCCACTTCTCCAAAGCTTGTTATCATGTCTCAGCCTTTTCATAAGTATCGATCAAAATTCCTCTGTTTGAGGGGGGGGGAAAAAAAGAAAAAACACTGCCTCTCTGTACAACTATTGAGTGGTATCTTCTTCTTCTTCTTCTTTTTTGAGAGTAACGAATATTATTAGAAAATAAAAGAGATTACAACAAAGATTACAATAACAAAGGAGATAAAGATATAGAATCCAACGCTACTTGTTGCTTGGCTAAATCATCAGCAATAGTATTTGCTTCTCTGTAGACGTGATGAAAGGCATTAGTAATACCAGAAGATAACTCATTCACTTTGTACAATATGGTAAAAAGCCGCCAAGGAGGTGTTGACAGGCCTTTACACCAGTTAATGACATTGTGAGAGTCTCCTTCAATGATCAGATTTTGCTCCAAACCTTTCTCCCAATAGATCCGCAATCCATGTAGCAAAGAAGCAAATTTGACATGATTAGCAAAAACCACCCCACAATGTCAAAAAATTATCTGACCTTTGTGGTTGCTGCAAACACCCCCAACTCGTGTGGCCCCGGATTTCAAAAGAAAGCCATCAAAATTTAATTTCAAGCATCCCAAAGCAGGTGGGCTCCAATTATACCGTGGCATCACCTTAATAGATCTTTGCATGACTAAATTAGCAAAGTTTAGATCCACATCGCTTTCTTGAAATCCCCCAGCCTGCCTTTGTAATGCTAAGCCAACTATATGTAAAAAAGTTAATTTTGCTTTGAATTCATCCAACCCTATAGCCACACCATCAAAGGTATGCCTATTCCTTTTCCAGCCATAGTTCCCAAATAATAGTGCCCCTCAAAATATCCTATAGCATAATGCCCATCTTTGGTAGCCCAAGAATCTTCAAGTGACTCATGAAGAGGCTAACCGATATGGGATAGGTAAAAGCACACCTATTTTCTTCATTGCCCAACACCATGAAGGATAGGTGAAAGGGCAATGCAAAAATCGATGATCAACGGTTTCCTCATCTTGTTTGCAAAAAAAACAAACATTAACGATGGTCTTCCCTCTTTTCCTTAAATTATCAATAGTTAATGTTTTCTTTTGAGACAAGATCCATATAAAAACTTGTACCTTATGGGGTATGCGCCATTTCCATATGTCCTTGAGAGTAGGTTGATTCCATCTTACCCAAACATGGAATAATAAATTATATGCTGATTTCACTGAATAAAGACCATGTGTTTCTGAGTCACAAACAACCATATCTTTTGCTGAATCAGATATATGAAACCCATCCAAAGATTTGAGTATATCAATATATTGATTTACCACAATATTAGGAAAACGGTTATAGAGGCACTTAATATTCCATACTACAGATAAACCCTCTTTAATACCAACCTCATTGACCTTAGTCATATGAGATGAGCTTCTGAGAAATAAATCCGGTTATAACCACTTAAAAGTTATATCTGAAGCCCATTTAGAATGCCAGAACAATACAGAATCTCCCTTGCCAACTACCCATTTTGAGTTTGAAAGAACAAAATGCCGAATACAATATATTGCCCTCCACATATAAGATTGTTCTCCCCTTTGACCATGAGCAATAATAAGATTACAAGGGTCCCAACCATATTTAGCTTGAAGTACATCCTTCCATAAGCTCTTTTCAGTTTGCATAACACGCCACCACCACTTTGCTAGCATGGTTTGATTCATAAATTTTATTTTTCGAATGCTCAGACCCCCTTCAAATTTTGGAGTGCATACACGATCCCACTTAACTAGATGATATTTCTTCACATCCTTATAAGAGCGCCATAAAAAGTTCCTCATTAATTTCTCCAATTGTTTAACAATATCACCTGGCATACATAATAAAGACATCTGGTAAATAGGAAAATTGGATAGCGATGACTTTATGAGAGTAACTCTACCCCCAAGAGATAGGTGTTTTGATTTCCAAATGTCTAGTTTCTGGTTTGCCCTTTTAACAACTGGGTCGCATACTGCCTTTGGCAACCTGCAATCGGATAAAGGCATTCCCAAATAAGTAATTGGAAAACATTCCTTCTTGCAGTTCAAAATCTGAGCAAGATATTAACCACCACATCTTGGCACTCCACACCAATAATTGATGCTTTTCCAAAATTTACTTCGAGTCCCAAGGCAAATTCGCAGCAGAAACCTCCTTATAGTCATTATCTTATCTACATCTGCCCCACAGAATAAGATGGTGTCATCAGCATATTGTAAGTGAGATTGAAGGCCCTGCATTATTTATTTGAAAACCAGTAAAACCATGATGATGAACCATATTTTAACCATCAAACTGAAGGCCTCACCGAAAAGAGTAAATAAGAAAGGGGATAGAGGAACCCCTTGCCTAAAACCTCTTGTTGCTTTAAAGAAACCCTCAGGGCACCAGGATATAAAAATGAGCATTTGAGAGACACCCAAAAATCCATTTCCTTCAATTAGTACCAAATCCCATTAAGTATAGAATTTCATTAAGTATTCCCCATTTCCCTCTATCATAAGCCTTCTCTATCCAATTTGACAAGAACCCTTGGGATACCACTTTCGACTCTTGCAGGAATACATTCCTGTGCTATCAATACACCATCCATTATCATTCTCCCCTTAATAAAGGCAGATTGATTCCTAGAAATAATAACATGACGTACACTTTTCAATTTCTCTGCCAGCACCTTTGAAATAATCTTATATAAACTGGTTAACAAGCTACTTGGTCGAATATCATTAGTACCTATAATCGATGATTTATTTGGAACCAAAGAAATAAAGGCATAATTAATTCTTTTATTCAATTTATCATTCTACAAATTCATTGACCATCGATACAAGTTCATCCTTCAGTAATGACCAAAATTTATGAAAAAATAATAGTGGAAATCCATCAGGTCCTCGTGCTTTATCACTAGGACGTGTGAAAACTGCATTTTTAAGTTCTTCCATTTCAACCCTCCTTTCTAAATCATGTGCAATATCTTGTGCTAGAACATTGTGCTAGAACATTGAAAGGAACACCCTCCAAATTAACTGGACATAGATGTTCACTAGATAATGCTATTTGAAAATGATTGACAAATTCATTTTCCCAAGCAATATTATCAAATTGGTCCACCCCATCAAGCGAGATACCAGAAATATCATTTTGTCGACGTCGAGCATTAGCAATACAATGAAAAAACTTTGTATTTAAATCCCTTTCCTTCAACCACTTCACTCAAGATCTCTGCCTCCAATAAATTTTATCTTTCCTCAGTAATTCATGCATGGTATTAACAAGATTTTCTCTTGCACTCACTAATTCCATCGAAGTAAAACCTTGAGTAAGTACTTCATCATCAAGATCACTAATACGGTTCACAGTTTCTTCAATTTGATTTTTTAAGCAAAAATTCCTATCCTTCTTCCATTGGAGTAATTTTTGCTTAATAACCATTAATTTTTTGTAAATTTTATATCCAGACCACCCCTTACAGCTGTACTAATCCACGCATTTTTAATGAGATCCACCACCTCAGTTTCCTCAAGCCATACAACATCCAATCTGAAAGGTCTATCCCAGTATGAATGTCTTCAGTTTTTAAAATAATGGCTATATATGGTCAGAAGAGAATCTACTCACATAATTAACTTTTGCTAATGGAAAGAAGTTTTCCCAAGAACTAGAGACACGAAACCTATCCAACTTACTCATAACAAGATTGGTGACACTGTTATTAAACATGTAAAGACTACTCCATTCAAAGGTAAATCTATGAGTTCATTTTGGTGAATAAAGCTGTTAGCAAGACGCATACAGGAATTTATTGGATTATTTGAGGTGCATTCATCAGGCCAACAAACAAAATTAAAGTCTCCCTCCACACGGACCAGTAAACCACAATGAGCAATTAAACCAGAGAATTCAGAAATAAAAGCAGGTTTAAGAGCAATATCTCTTGGGACATAAATATTTATCAACAACCATCTAAAGGAGCAAAAAAGCCCGTCCAAAATGATACAAATCATTCTATCCTTTAAGAAAGCATCAACAACATTAAAAGAAGTTGCATCCCAAACACACCAAAGTCGCCCGGAGGAACATACTGTATCTATACCCACAAAATGGCAAGAACCCCTTCCACATATGGAATGCATAAATCTTACCTCCGGACTTGCAAGTTTAGTTTTCTGAAGCGGCCTTTCTTTTCTGAGCAAAAAAGCCACATCCTTTTTTCTGCGTGTGTTTCCCAAGCCATGCACGTTCCAACTATCTTCGTGAGATTTAGAGCATTCCTTGACCCTGGCGAAAGATTGAAATTCGGCAGGTCCAGGACTGTCATCATCACTTCTTAACAAGACTGTTTCTGCAGGATTTTCAGAAATAACTACTCCAACTTGAGCTTTTGATTTCGCAGCAAGGCAAGCAGACTGGCGAATTCCTCTCATAGGAGTTTTCTTCACATTTTTCACCACTGTTTCATGAATATATCTTCTGAAGCAACAGAAAAAAGTAATCATTGTTAAATTCATGTGATTCTCCGCCATATTTCTCTCTTAGAGCATCAAGCACCAACGGTAAATCATCTCCAAAATCAGCACCCATGACCATGATTAGTCTTCTCATAAACGCACTTTATAATCGGAGGTCATTCTGCTTCAACTTCCAAGCAAACACTGGAGTAGAGTTATTTGGCTTTGTGACAGTGTGTCAAATACTTTGCAAGCAGTATTGGGTTACCAAGAAATCCCCAACAAAGGTGTTTGTATGTGTTGTGAAGAAGTGGAAATATAAGGCCCAACAAAAATAAGAAACAAGCTCTTAAAGGCTAAAACACGAATTTAAGTAGTCTACGCCATTTCTTCTATTTGTTTCTATCTAAACCGAGGATCCAAGATCTTGTTGATTTGGGGCCTTGTCTCTCCTAGGTCATTGCCTATCTTCAAGGGCTATTTCTTTCTCTCGATATTCCTTCCTTAGGAGAGTTTCAGAGTCTTGTCTTTGAAAAAAGCTCCTAAGTGAATGCATAATGACTTTAACACATCTAAGACATGACATTATATGGTAGAGTTATTAAAATGTAAGGTATAAAATTCTCAAATTCGCCTTTTTTATTAGAATGGTGCCACGGTCCTTCTCCACATGGGAGATGGTGATGCAGTGAAGATAGAAAGAGGACGAAAAAATATAAAATAAAAATTATAATAAAGGGATGAAAAAATATACCTTGTCGAGGTCTTCCTTCCAAAAGATCTTTTCCCAAGATGCACTATACTCGTCTTCTCTTTGCACAATACTCTTATTCTCTTCTCTTTTTTTTAAAAGTCTAATGATTATATATTTTCTGGTCCAATTATTATATATTATAGAAGATAGGGAACCTAAACCTTAACTTCTTTCCTAAAAACACCTTGATCAATACAAACCCTTCATCTTAAAAAGAACAATTTGCAGATTTGGACTTGAGAGAGGGAAAAATTACGTATTATCATTCGCCAAAGATGATAAATGGGCATAGTGCCCTTCATCTTAAAAAGAACAACTTGCAGTTTTGGACGTGAGAGGGAAAACTTATGTATCATCATTAGCCAAAGATGATAAATGGGCATAGTGCTTCAATATATGCATCTAAGAATTAGTTCACGTTTTTGGGAACAAAGTCAATTTCTACCAGAATCCAAATTGCAGAGATTACTGCTAAATCGTCTTACATAGAAGAGAGGGGCACCTCAGACTTCCATAAACCATCAACACGTAGGCTGTAAAATTCAGGGATTTAAGTCCATTACCGCATTCGGAATCTTCGATTCTTCATAATGCAGCAATGTGGAAGCATCAGGGGACCTAAGGTATGAATGACAAATGGGAGAACAAAGATAGGGGATTTCCTTGCAAGAATAAACAAAACCAAGTGACTGCGAATTATTAGGCAAAAACACTAATTTACTTGAACAAGATTCAAACCATTTTATACAAACCTAGAAAATCAGAAGATCAAATGAACAGAGAAAAGAGAACTGAATAGTTCATCTTTTCAATGAATTGGCGAAAAGCTACAGTTCCTCTTTTACATGATAATTGCCTCAGACAAAAGAAACATTCTCCAAGGTCATGTTATAATGTCTCTCATGCTCCCACACAAGGGAGTAGAGTTATCTATCAAACGAGTTATAAAATCCACAGGCAAAAAAGAAAGAAGCTCCTCATCTTCTCTTGGGCCTCTTTCCCAACCTACAACTCATCATTGGTATCCTCCTCATCCTCTGACCCTGAAGAACCAGGGCCACCAGACTTCTCATAAACTTGCTTTATGATAGGGTTGCACACCGCCTCAACCTCCTTCAACTTCTCCTCGAAGTCTTCCTTCTCAGCTGTCTGGTTATCATCCAACCATTCCAAGGCCTCCTTCAATGCGGTTTCAACCTTTTCTTTGTCGTCCGATTCAATTTTATCAGCGAGCTTGTCCTTGTCATTGATGGTGCTCTTCATAGAGTAAACATAGGTCTCCAAACTGTTTCGAGCGTCAATCCTCTCTTTCACTTTCTTATCCTCTTCTGCAAATTCCTCTGCTTCCCTAACCATTCTCTCAATCTCCTCTTGACTGAGCCTTCCCTTGTCGTTGGTGATGGTGATCTTCTCAGCCTTCTTCGTACCTTTGTCTTCTGCTCTAACATTCAAGATACCATTGGCATCAACCTCGAAGGTGACTTCAATTTGAGGTACTCCTCTGTTCACAACAAAAAAGAATATTAATGATTGGCCTAGCAATATCTTGAGTGCCTTTTCAAATAAGGCATTTGGTTCATCTGATAATTACTCAAATTGGATTTTACAAAACATTAGGTCTATATATTGTTTAATGATCCAGTTCAATTCACCAAACACAAACAGTTGATATAGCAATTGTAGACATCCACCATTAGGTCTACAAACCAGGTGGTCTTACCTAGAATCAATTGGAGACAGCTTACACAAAACGATGTCATGGTAGCAATTAATATGACAAAAAATAATAATTTGACGTGGTTTGCACAAAATAATGTGTTACCAATTAATAGAAATTAAAGAAATCAGGGATACCCACCTTGGAGCAGGTGGAATTCCGGAGAGGTCAAATTTCCCAAGCTCACGACAGTCCTTTGTCAAGCTCCTCTCACCTTCATAGACCTGCAGATTGATTCATCAAATATGGAATAAGTTTCTGCTTGTAGACCACTAAAAGTTTGCAATAAAGACACCAAAATGATAGGAAAATAGTGTTTTACCTTGATAGAGACTGTTGTTTGCTGGTCTTGGTAGGTTGTGAAAACCTGAGACTTTTTGGTTGGGATCACTGTGTTCCTTGGGATCAATTTTGTCATGACACCACCAACTGTCTCAATACCCAAACTCAATGGAGCCACATCAAGGAGAAGGATATCTGTAAAAACCCGATATTGTACCATAAGTCACAAAAACATCTTGTGCAAATCATTAAGGTAGTAAGATATAATACAATCATTAATATAATCTACAATTCAATGCACCCCAAAAAGCACCAGCCATATTGGAGTCATCAGCATCAAATGGAAGCAACCACTCTTCCCCATCACCATCCAACTCAAAATAACCACCTTCCATCACTTCAACAGACAGTGATTACTCTATTTGATGGTGATGATCCATACGAGCTATGGCCTTCTAAAGTCTATTGTGCTTCCTATAGGCTTCCCCTCACCCTATCTTAATGGTGCATAAATTTTCTCTCACCTTTGGTTTCTTCACCTCCTTCACCACTGAGGATTCCACCCTGAACAGCCGCACCATAAGCAACAGCTTCATCAGGGTTCACTCCCTTGTTGGGTTCTTTACCATCAAAGATGTCCTTCAAAAGTTGCTGCACCTTTGGGATACGAGTGCTTCCTCCGACCAAAACAATCTCCTGTATATCAGTCTTTTGCAAACTGGCATCCTCAAGAGCTTTCTTCACTGGTCCCATGGTTTTCTTGAAGAGATCCATGTTCAATTCCTCAAACCTGGCCCTCGTTAGGGGTTCAGAGAAGTCAATTCCATCAAAGAGGGACTCAATTTCCACACGAACTTGGTGCTGGCTACTAAGGGCTCTCTTTGCCCTTTCTGCCTCCCTTCTAAGCTTGCCAATAGCTTTGTTATCCTTGCTTATGTCCTTGTTGTACTTCTTCTTAATCAACTTGATGAAGTAGTCCATGACCCTTTGGTCAAAGTCCTCACCTACACAAAACCATAGAGAGTGGTTAGCCATCAAGGGAAATCAAGGGAAAATGAATACGATAAAAACCAGAACAATGACTCAATAACTAAAACAACCACACCCCATCAATAATTCTATCACCCAATAGATAGTTGGTGTATTAATGATAAAAACCAGAACAATGACTCCAAATAACTGAAACGACCACCCCATCAATAATTCAATCTACCAATAGATCATTGATGTATTAACTCACTTGTATAGCAGGCCACACACTTCATTTCAGAGAAAGAGAGTAGTGTGCATGTGAAAGAGAGAAGGGGGTGGAACCAAGACACTAACCTCCAAGATGGGTGTCACCACTGGTAGCCAAGACCTCAAAGACTCCATTGTCAATGGTCAAGATGCTGACATCAAAAGTACCACCACCAAGATCATAGACCAAGATGTTTTTCTCCCCTCCCTTCTTGTCCAAACCATAAGCAATGGCAGCAGCAGTTGGCTCATTAATGATACGAGCAACATTTAGCCCTGCAATGACACCAGCATCTTTCGTGGCCTGCCTCTGAGCATCATTGAAGTAAGCTGCACAAAGAATAACCCATTTCAGTGACAAAAATTCTCAAGACTTAGAAACAACACTTAGTGATATATCAATAGTTCACTACCTATTCAATAGAGAAGAAAAAACAATGCTGTAACTAGAGTTAACAGTTCACGAGAAGCAGAATAAACCTTTCAAATGTCATACAGATATGAATTATAGAAGCCACTGTTCAAAGGGAAACTTTTATGTAGCCATTAAGGACAAGCTTTTTAATAGAAAGAGCATTTCATAGAAAGCACATACGAGGAAGAAAAAAACAAACTAATAAGAATGCTAAAAATCCAAAAGGAATTAAGATAGCCAAAGAATGCAAATAGGGGAACAGGTCTGACCTGGAACAGTGACCACCGCATCCTTGATCGTCTTGCCAAGGTATGACTCAGCTGTCTCCTTCATTTTTCCCAAAATCATCGCGCTTATCTCCTCTGGGCTGAAGACCTTAACTTCGTTTTCCCTGATCTTCACCTCAATGTATGGTTTCCCATCCTTATTTACCACTTTATAAGGTAAAAACTTCATATCTCTCTGAACCTCCTTGTCAGAAAATCTGAATCCAGTGGCAGCAAAAGCTCATCAGAGAAAAGATATATTGACACAAAAATCCAGTGATCTATCTAGGTCCAAGTCATCCAACACATATAAACTATATTGAAAACGAGATCTACAACTACTAAATTTGATGTTTCATGAATATCATCGTTGGAGGAGTTCATTGAGGTTTGCTTGGATCTATAGTCATACAAAAGGACACAGCATTTATTAATACGTTCCCGCAATTACATGGTGACTGTTAACCAGATTCAAGGAAACAATGATATAGCGGAAGTCAAAAGCCCAATTCTCCCAGAAAGCAAGGATCATTTGTTAATCACGTGATGGTAAGAGAAATAATAAATCACTTTAGGAAAAAGAAATAATAAATCACTTTAGGAAAATACCAAAAAATTAAAGTTATATCTTATATTAATGCCTGAAACGCCCAAATGCCAACCTTTCAAGTATGATAATCACTTCCAATCAACACTTAATGCGACACCAACTAAACAAAAGTGAATTGGAGTGCAAATTTTCCATATATATGAAAAATGTTTCACTGAATGGAGTAATACTACCATCAATTCCAAAAACTAAAAGCCTGATCCACAAATATATTCTATTCCCAAAATAAAAAGCCATATTTGAGGGAACCTCATGGAAAGTTACAGGATTCAGTCCATTTCCATAAGTATTTCCAACATTTCAAGAAAAAACACTACTACTTTTAATGAATAAAACCCTATATCTCTTCCGATAGACTAAATCTCCCATAGCTACTCCCCCAAACCTCACAAAATTTAAATCCATCGCACGAAACACAAATCACTCATCATAGCAATGAAGAAAAGCACTTACCGTCGTCCGATCAAACGCTTAACATCAAAGATCGTCCTCTCAGGATTGAGAGCAGCCTGATTCTTAGCTGCCTCTCCCACCAATCTCTCTGTATCGGTAAAAGCCACCCATGATGGAGTGATCCTATTACCCTGATCATTCGCTATAATCTCCACATGTCCATTCTTGTAAACTCCGACACATGAATACGTTGTTCCAAGATCAATTCCTATCACCGTTCCAAGCTTCGGTGCTTCCTCAGCTTTCACGAATGATTCAAAAACAAAACCTAGATCCAGCAAAAAAAAGACAAATCCACCATTAAAGCTCAAGCTTAAGCCACCGTTTTGGCTCCAGATCCTGGTAAAAAAACAGGAAACCTACGGATCACATACCTGAGAGAAAAATGACAGAAAGAATTAAGATGCTGCTTTTCATCATTTGGATCGTATTTCCTTTCAGAATCGCCATTTCTGCGATCTCCTGCACTCTCTCTCCTCTTTTCCTCTCTCTCCTCTTTTTTTTTGTGGGCTGATATTAGCTTCTTTCACTCCCTAGATTTGCTTTGCTTTTGTTCCGTTATTGCGGAGATCCACAAGTGAGGGGGGGTCAAATTTAAAGCCGTTTATATATACCTGCGTTTAGAGAGAGAGAGAAAGGTGTTTTGAAAAGGGCATGGCGCCAAGTGTTCAAACCAATTGAATTCAGACACGTGTTTTAATTTGAGGGTTTCGGCCAATAGAAAGCGAAAAGCTGCGTGTCGATGCAGCGTAGCCAATTATATTTCGCCACGTCATCATTGGGTGTTTACAAGTGCGTTACCGTCGTAAGACGTCTAGAGGTTCGAGAGCATCGACGTCATAGCACAGGGGTGGACGGTCTCGATCGGGTCCTCCACGTTGAGTGATTTGAGGAAAACCGTTCGATCAGGGAGCAATTAAGCGAAAATGGTATTCAGTAATGCACAACTGGTGTATGGTATGTGGCCAGATGGTATACGCAAGTGGTGTAGGGTATGGCACACCAGAGGGGCATCTACCGTCTTTTATAAGGATGGAAGAGGAGGACCATTATGTAGCTTCTCAAGACAAACATTAGACGGTCTTGATCGGGTCCTGCACGTTGCATGATTTGAGGAGAACCGTTCGATTAAGCGGCAATTAAGACCATGCCCAAATGTTATTCAGTATGCACAACTCTTGTATGGTATATGGCCAGATGGTATACAATAATGCGCAAGTGGTGTAGGGTATGGCACACCAGAGGGGCATCTACCGTCCTTCATAGGGATGGAAGAGGAGGACCAACAGTAGTTTCTCAAGACAAACATTTGAGTGGGCAAGGGTAATGTACACCGTCCATTGTCTCGAATGAATGGCGATGCCCCTACGTATACATAACGTTGTAACTGTTGTACGCTTTGAATTTTCCCTAATGAAGTGAGAAATATGTATCTTGATCTTGGAAAAAGGAATCGGTGAACCCTTTGTTTTTTTTTTTCTTTTTTTTTGAATAATGACTTTTTTTTCATTAAAAATAGATAAAGCGCAGCCAAGCGAAATTCGCGATCACCAAGGATAGTTGATGAAAACCACCTTTAGCCAAAATAATTAGCCTCCCTAAAGCAATGATTTAAGCAAATATTGTGTATGGATTATAAATTTAAAAGACAAATCGGTAACTAGGATTGGGCATCACAAAAATAGCTATGAGTCCATGAATCGATAGTCCAGGTGGCTGTTTTACTGTGTAAAAAAAATAGTGAACCAATGAAAAACACGTGAAAAAATAATGTACCTGCCAAGAACCGATTTGGATCGATGAATTGGCATTTTACTGTAGCGAAACACTATTTTTATTTGTAGCAAAATACAAATTGCTGGTTTTTTTTCTAGACTTGGACGATTTCCTACATATTGATAGAATCGGTACGGGGTGACTGATTTCCAAATCGAACTGGATGATTCCGTGCCGACGCAGAATTTTTTAAATCATAATTCTGGATAAAAAATATATTATTTCATAAAATATAGAAGAAAATCTCCATGGGCAATAGACTTACCTTTGCACCAGGTAATCGTGTCAGCCGAATTTCACTCTTTATCATTTTATTCATTACTAAAAGGGAGGTCAACAGTAAAACTTTCTTGAAGAGCTTTAATTTCAGCTTCATTTGCCGTAACCTCACCATTGGGTTCGGAGAAATAGAATCGATTTGTACAAAGATAGAGTAAACATTACCTCTTTGATAAATCTAATAAAATATAAAAAGTATATTTTAAAAAAGATTAAACAAATGAAGTTGAAAGTTCATGAAAAAAAATGAATTTTGAAAAAAAAATGAAATTTAAAGAATCGATGTTACCTATGAGTATTTTTGAAATTTTTCAAAAAAGATGGAAAAAAATAAAAATAAATATTAATGGCAAAAACAATTTCCAAGTTTTTCCATAATGATGAAAACCATTAAAAAAATACATTACAAACAAAATTCCTTATTTTTTGAAATTTTGTATAAATTTTTAATTTTTTTTAAATGACCGAAATCGGAACCGGCCAGTTCTAATCTAACTAGACAGTTACTAGTTAGAATGGTCGATTTTTCTAACAATAGACCGAACCATTCTTGAAAAAATAAGCATGACCCATGGTATGCGAATATCTAGTGCAAAAGGGTATTCAAGAAACAAGTGATCACAATAGTCACGACTGGAGGTCACATTTCGCCACTTAGGTGACAGTGGCATCAACACATGTTATAAATGCGGAATCAAAGCAAACCATGAGAAAAAGCACAAACTCCTCCAAGAAACAACAATAAAAGCTTGATAAATTAAAACCATTCATATCCATATGCATTCTCCAAAAGTCATAACTATAGTATCCATAATATTACAATTCATCCAAGGCACCAAAGCCTATTAACAAATATCCAATGCTTCATAAACAACACAGAACAGCCAATGGCCAACTGACAACTACAAAAACAAGGAGATCTTCTAGTCTAACGCTGGACTCCAGTCCACCAAACATGATCACGCCCTCCTATCTTCGATTGATAGCCACTAATCTACAAGAGTGGAAGCAAAGGAATGAGATAAAAAGCCCAGTAAGTAGATCACAATATCATGCTTCCGTCCCTATGAATATTATCACACATCATAAGTCAAGGTTTTAAGCCATGCTCATAAAACATGAGTCATGCATCACAATTATAGGATGATGCTTTTCATGGAAGAGCAGGCACAATATAAGATATATGATATCATATACACAAGCAATCTATCAGATTTCAATAGATCCACACAAACAAGAGAGCATAATCAAATCAACAGACACAACCCACTCTCTAGCCCTATTCATCAGGCCAAACACTTATCTCAGATTAGTCACATAACTCAAGTAATCATATATCTCAAGTCAATCTCACATCTTAAGTAATCAAAATAGTCACAATATCACAATATCCAACTACCAAAGGGTGACCCATTGCGTAGTATCCATATAGATTTGGGGGCGTGAAACTTCCAAATATTCACATTCACATCCTGACTCCCATCCTATCATAGAGAGTTAGACATACACATCAAGCAAATATTTCTTAGAACAAGTACTTTATTTCTCAAACAAAGAGTTGTACCTCATAAGGTACTGGCATTTTCCGAACGTTAAAAAACCTTAGAAATGTGAAAGAAAATATATAGTGTCTACTAGGCAAATATGAAAGGTATATATTGTAATCAATATATATATATATATA